ACTTGTAAGTAAACTTCCAAAGATTTCGAAACAAAATAACCGTTAGTTCTAAGAGTTGCAGGGCGACTTTGATGTCAGTTCTGCAGATTATAGTCAAACTAAGTTTCAATGCTTTCCAAAACTAATCACCTCTATGAAGGCATCTTGGGATTGCGGACTAGAGATAAGTCTTTCTTACCTTCGAGATTTAAGTGCTTGACTTCGCAGCTTTTGAAACGAAGATTTAGCAACTGAAGTGCTTCAGTGAACATGGACAATTTTCAGTTTTGGTAGCACATTTGTACGAAGAATTTTACATAGTTTAGTTCAAATTACAGCCGAAACACGCATCAGATTCACATAATTGTCGGCAAAACTCTCGCCAGAATTCTGCTGAATCGCCTTGTGCATCAACTTTAGCATGGGCCCCTGCCTGAGAGCCAGAGTAGCTTCATAAGAAGACGAGAGACAAAGGTCATGGTAGTTGCAGCTCATAAACCCCAGGGAATTGCCAGGAACTTCAACTTGCACACGACATTATAGACCTGACAAAAGCCATCGACACCAATCAGTCGTGGGAACTCTAGAAGATTGTGGCAAAATATGTTGCCCAGGGAAATTCATCTTCATGGTTTAGTAATTAGATGATAGTATACTCGCTTACGCCACAACAGAGATTCATCTGAACCATTCCCACATTTATTGGTGTGGACCACTCTGCGCCATCAATTATAATTGAGGTGGCTAGTTTTGAGAGCCCTCCCCCCGTTCCGAAAGTTCATAAAAGCTTTTAGGTTAGTTTTGTGAGGATTCCCTTGTTCCGAAAGTTTAGAAAGGCTTTGACAGGACTCCTTTGTTCCAAAAGTTGAACATCTTGGAAACTGTTATGTGATGTGATCATGATTTTAAACGTAGCTTTAACAATTTTCAGTCATATCGCTACGATGTCTGCAGTGTGGCAGTTTAAAGTGATGTCTAGCACTGGGGCATCATGCCACTGACATGTAACATGATGTCCTACCCAGTCACATTATCCTGACACCAGATCGACCAGTCCTAACACTAACCTCTTAATACTGAGTACTAAGGCAGCCGTTAGTACCATTTTGTAAGTCTTTGGAATGACTCGACATGGGATCGAACCCACGCCCTCCCGCATCCGATAAAAGCATTATACATTTTAGACACAAGAAAACATGCTGATCCCTAGTTATTTTTACTTGGCTCAGTGAAATCTTATTTTTACTTGGCTCAGTGAAATCTTTCTCCAGTTAATAAGGAATATCTCTTTTTTCCTCAAAAGTTTATGATTGAGCGGGTTTATCCTGTACAGATGCTTTTTCGCAGGTGTAGAATCTACAATTTTATCGTCATGTTAGATTTTATTTGTCTGTGTTGGAGCATCTGAAAACAAGTCCTCATATTCAAATAATAGCAACTTTAGTTCACTCTTTGTATGTGATGTAGATCTGAAAGTTTCTGCGCCAGATTATTAATTATTTCTAAATTCCGAAGATTGGTTCCACCTCCGACCTCGAGATCCGACCTCCAAAAGGCTTCCTTGACAGTTATCCTGAAAATCTTTCTAAGCCCACTTTTCATGACAGGATGGCCACATCGCAGGTATTTTCTAAGTCACTAGTAATATACAGCTGGTTTTGTTTTAATTAAAATAGTCTCTTTTTTACTGATACTCCGCACTCTGGCATTCATTTTAACGTTAAAGGTCTTGACTCAAGGTTATAGCCATGCTGGGTTTTGAGCCTTATATAATCAAGTATGAATGGATTTTTATCAGACGAAGTATACGGATTTGAAGAATATATTAAATTATGCCAGTTAAATAACTTGTTGCCTTGTCCCCCCTATCGCCGAAAGTTTGTGTATAGATTTAACTATACTCAGCATGTGGGTATATCTTGACCTTGTCTGAGATAATAAAACTCAATGTCATTCTATTCAGGATATCAAGTCCAACATTAATGGCAGTCTCAAAGAATTATGCACTGCACTTACAGTTTGCTTGTGAATATGTTAATTCGAATAAGTTAGAAAACATTGTTGTTACCAAATTTTCTTTGGTTGAGTCGTTTAAGAAACATCAGAGATGGTTTCAACACTTAGCAGCTAAGAACAAAAGGGTAGAAGAAAAAAAAAAGACTTATCTTTCATGTCAAGAAGTTTCTTTTACGTCCATAAAGCCTCAAAATCGATCGAGGTACTCCTGATTTTGTTCACAAACAAATTAACAACAAGCATACGTCACTTTATAATTTTCTTTATAAAACGTTGTGCTTCGAAAATGCCACAAAATGAAGACGATGGTGTATGTTGCCATACAAACTGAGAAACTGATTCCAAAATAGATAGATAGATAGATAGATAGATAGATAGATAGATAGATAGATAGATAGATAGATAGATAGATAGATAGATAGATAGATAGATAGATAAGTTAGAGACAGAGATAGATTGATAGAGACAAATATTCCAAACTACGCGACATGAAAAAGACACGATTTGTCTAAATGATCAATGAAACAAACCTTTACCAAAACTTGGATAGATGATTACGTACCTAAGACGAAATAAGAAAAGAAAATCACACCGGCAACTTAGGATGTTAATGGGCCCCGCGGTGGCTATAAACAAAATGTCGGTGTCTGTTGTGTTAGCAGTTTAGTACGATATTAACAAATTTAACAAAATGATACACATGCACATGGAAATGCAATGCAGTACTCTACATCTGAGACTGAGAGATTGAGGCGCAATTCTAGTTACTTTTAAGGTTAGAGTTTGTGCCTAGGGCCACCAAACGTCTTAAAACGGCCCTGCTTTGAACCAGTGCACTTCATTCATACATTTCATTCGTATGGCCTCAAGGACACATTGAACGAATGTACGTTATCCGAACGTCTCATTTCAATAGTCCTGAAGTCACATAGAACCAGTGCACGTTTTCCGTGTCTTCCATTCCGACAGCCCTGAAGACACGAAACCAGTCTACGTCATCCGTACCTTTCATTCGGTTTACCCTAAAGGAAACTTAAAATATTTCCAACAAAATTATAAATATGAGAGCATATAGTGCAAACAACCAAAATTTCCATTTAGTTCCAAGCAACGAAAGAAAACCTTGACAGTCACAACAACGTCATAAATTGCAGTACAGGAAATGTAATCTATCCGCAGTACAAATTAAGGGGCTCTGAGCTAGAAAAACTAAAATAATTAATCCTACATACGCCTTGAACATTTATTTTTTTAATTTATTATATAAAACCAAGAATTCGTTTCAGCCGTAATAAATTTCTCCCCCAATTTATCAGTGAGTGATAACCACCTGGCATATACACCTATACTTGAGTTTGGGATTAGTCGGTGGGCATAATTTATACAAAGTTATAATATAATGAACTTAAGCAATATTTTTATTATATGGGACTAACCAACAGCGTGCTTACAGCGGTGCATTGTACATCAGCTGAAAATGGTGGAGGCAATTGACTTATTATTTATACTCTGTAAGTTTAACATCGAAAGTATGACTATAAACCAGAGCGAAGCCATTACAGTGTAGTGGAGAGATAGCTATTTGTACAAACATGGAGCGGCAGTAGCGAATTGCTTATTTATAAGTTTATTCAAATTGTTTGCTCCCCTTGTCTCGATCATGTAAGAACAGTGTAACAGTGTTCAAACTCAAACAACTTAAATTGATTGGATATGGTGGCTTGCCGCTGCATCTAATGAAATTCACGGACCCAAAGCACAGAAATATATGCTCGATACGCCAACGCGTAGATAGCTTTAAATTATCGGAACCTTGGCTAGCGAAGATGGGCAGCGGGAGGCTTAGTGTCCGTACATGAATTGTGATTCATACAGTACCTAGAAAATCGCACGATATTGGCTTAAATTGGGGTCCTTTTTAAACTCATTAAATTAGAACAACGAAGGCCTTTACATATCACTCACACATCTCACATCTGTCAGCCAAAGTTCGAATCCTGCTCGACAAACGTGTGCATGTGAGAAAGCTTGTTAGCAGCTTCCCATAGGTCGATGGTTTTCCTGGGGTCTTTACGGGTTTTCCCTCCACAAAATATACTCGCCGTCATGTATAAGCCAGCCTATCATATACTGACAAATGGCGGTAACTCCAACAAAACCAAGCCAAATTAGATTAATGCAAAAATTTTCTGCATAAATATAAAGATTTTCTTTTTTAAGCTAACGTTAATCAATTTGGTTAAAGTAAAAGAATAACAAATCTTCAGTATTTTGTTTTAAAAATTTTTCTTTATAAGGGTAAATAGAAATACTTGCTAAAAAGCCAAACATGGCTTTAAGTCCTGCTACTGTACTAAGTTCGATAGCGATGTTTATGACCAATGATTTGACTGCAACAAACTTTTTGTACATGTAACACGATATTGCGATGCCTACTGAGAAGTTTTGACGGCTGGATCAACGGGACCCAATGAACCAAGGTGATGGCAGTACAACTGTTATTTTCCAAACAACATATCCACTAGATCAATTGTAGCTATCAAGTGTACTATTACGTATAGAAATCAAACTCCCAAAGAGAAAGAGATATATTTTTAAGCAAGTCACGTCAATGAATGTATATATCTTGTGTTGATATAATATGCCGGTGACATACTACACGATGGAACGATGGAGCGATTGGTTCTAACAGGATTTCATAGTTGCCTGATTCAGTCATTGTCTGTTTGCGGTATCTAGTACTTTTTCCGTTGCAACTCAATTGTATCGTCGTGCTACTACTATCCTGCCAACGTTCTTCTTGGTTCATTGCAATGAAAGATTGTCCTTTGATTTTGGATCATTCTTGGTTTTATTTCTGTAGATCATAAGAAAGACTAATTTTTAGAAAATAGAATCTGTTTCGTTCTTGGTTTTAATAGCACATTTTAAACAATTAATTAATAAGTTAAGGAAAAGGGAGCTAAATGACTTTCTCAAGGCTCACCGAGACAACCGATCTGGGTCGACAGAGGCAGATATTGAACCTGTGATTCTTGGATTACGAGTCCAACACTCTACCAACTGAGCTACTGCAGTTTTGAATGTAACTGAAAGAATAGGTGTCCGGATAATGTCTGCGGCACGATGCTCCAGTGCTAGACATCACTATAAACTGCCCAACTGCAGACATCGTAGCGATATGACTGAAAAATTGTTAAAGCTACGTTAAAAATCATAATCACATATCACTTGAACATTCAATAAAAGAAAATCTTTAGCAAGTGGTATCAAGACATGAGACCTGTCACACTATTTCCACCCTACACACATTGACTAGCACTGACGCGAAACGCATCAAAGCCTTTTTGCTTCGTTACATCTTCATACCTACCCGGCCATTTTAAAGCAAATGATAGTTTATTAGTGTTCAACACCATGTTTCAGCACATGATAGGCTATACATCGCTTCCAAAATGGCTGCTGGAGGAAAAACGTGTGAAAAGTTTGGGAAGAACCACCGACACTCGGGAAGTTACTGGCACACTTTCTCTCATCCCATGTTGGCCCTGCCTGCGACTCTACCCCCACGTGGATAGATATGAAATGTTAGTGATTGATAAAGGCGAGCACCCGATATCACTCAGCCACAACGTTCTCAAAGAAAGTTTGAAATCATTGTCTATCATTACCTGTTCATTCTGTGGTCTATGAGGTAAACACATGGGAACTTCATGACCTCCTCGCGAAAGGTTCATGCATATCACCATGGAATGCTGTCGTCTGTATGTTATTAACATGATCGACAGCAATCGACTCTCAAAACAATGGATTTACTGCCTAACTTTCTGAAAGATGAAATGGTCAGATATTTTGATTCTTATGGACTACATCTGACCGAAGACACTATCATTGACTTTAGGAAAAGAAATTAAATCAATATTGTAAAATTACAAGGATCAAATTAAATCGTGAGTGGATAATATTGTGGTTATTTCCTTTATCAGCAGTCGTGAACTCCCGCTTTCTCATTTACTGTCCTTTGAAACAATGAAAAAGTAGAATGGCAGTTTCGTGATCATTATGGTAATTTCTTGTCTTTAAGCTTCAATGTACAAATCAATTTCAAGACAAGATGAAACCGTCTTTAAAAAGCGGAACCCATACTGTATTCACCAACAGTGTCAACCCTGTGTAAGTTTTGTATGGCATTTATTTCATGATGAAGGTTATTTGCTTTCTCAGTGCATAAAGCGGAAGAACTAGCATAATCCTCGTTCCTAGTTAACTTTAGTTTTAAACCATCAAAATAATTATTTTGTCATTATTAACTTTAATAGCGCTCTCTCTCTCTCTCTCTCTCTCTCTCTCTCTCTCTCTCTCTCTCTCTCTCTCTCTCTCTCTCTCTCTCTCTCTCTCTCTCTCTCATTTACTTCAGGATTGTTAAGGACCTATTGAAAGATGTATAGAAAGAGAAAATATAAATGGAGAAGCAGGCGCGGTAGGAATTATAGAGGCAACAACAATAGCAGTGTTAACTACAACGTGAGTAGTGGCAGCTGTTTCATCATGGCCACAGTGGCAGCAAGAACAACAGCCGTGACAACAGTCGCGGGAACAACAGTGATAACACTTGACCCCAAGAGTGAAAAACTGAGAAAGTGAGACTAAACTGCTTCGCTTTATCCTCCCAGAGACTGTGGACCATTGGTGTCCTAATCGATGTAGAACGAAGAGTGATGTTTAAGATGCCTGTATTGGGATATTGGGACGCTCCAACATGGAGACAGGGCTGAATTAAGGCTGGGGAAAGGGTCAGGGCACTTAAATTGGAGTGGGTCTTATAGATTTACAAGTACTAAATGATTGACCTTACCTAACTCTGTCTCTGTGCGTATGATGGCTTTTACTTATGTTTTAGAGTATTTGTGTATTGAAAATATAAACCCTACCCCACTCCCGTCATATGTGTGATACTACGCGATGATGTATATGTGAAAATGTGTTTAAAAAATAACAGCTTTGTTTACGTGTCATGGTGAGTTCGACAGTAAGTGTAAGTATGTAAGCTACACTCTGTGTTCTGCTATGTTGATGGTAAGTCTATGTTAATTACACTCCTATGTGTTTTGGTATCTTGATGGTAAGCCTATGTTAACTACTCTCCTATGTGTTCTGGTATGTTGACGGTAAGTCTATTGTAACGAGGATACCCCCATGGACTTTAATGTTTTGTTTCGTTATTTAATATTTCGTTTCGCTCAAGTTTATGTTGTGCTTTTAAATGTTTGGCATGTTTTATAGTGCCATCTAACGTCAACTGTGGCTGCTGCTATGGTAGTGTGATTGGAAGCTGCGTAGAGTGAAGACGTACTCTGCAGTGTAGCAGTGTAACAACCCCGCCAGAGCAAGCACACTTGGTCGTATTCCGTTGGGTAAGAGAGCTAGGTCAGGAATCTGAAAAGGATAGGGACAAAGTCTTTCATTGACCAGCAGCCCGCCGCTACAAGGCTTGTCCAAGCGAACGCGGAAGGTGCGATAATACACGTTTTGACTGAGGATAACTCTTCTGTCATCATTTCGCACTGTCCCCCCCCCTCTCTCTCTCTCTCTCTCTCTCTCTCTCTCTCTCTCTCTCTCTCTCTCTCTCTCTCTCTCTCTCTCTCTCTCTCTCTCGCGAATCTGAGACCAGTCGGCGACGGCGATCCAGTCTGCAACCAGAAGAAGACCAAGTCTGCGATCGAGATGAGACAAGTCTGCAACACAGTTGGTGACCAGAGGTAGACCAATCGGCGAGTCGGCGACCAGTCGGCTCCCCTACGTCAAGTCGATGACTGCGACCAAGTAAACGACCAAGACTGCGAGAAGTATGCACCCAGTCAGAGAACCTGCGACAAGTCTGCGACTGCGACCAAGTCGACGACACCCAAGAAGCCAGGAATAAGACGGTATCCCGCTGAGGTGGGAATCTGTCACACTCTGGAGTGCCAATCATCAGACAGATGCAGCGGGGTATCACTCCTAGTACAATACCTATTATAAAGAACCAGAGATAGCGAGACAGTGAAGACGAGGGAGTGTTCATCTACACTATGTTAACTACACTCCTATGTGGTTTGGTATGTTGATATGTTGATGGTAAGTCTATGTTAACTACACCCCAATGTGTTCTGGTATGTTGATGGTAAGTCTATGTTAACTACACTCCTATGTATTCTGGTATGTTGATGGCTAGTCTATGTTAACTCCATACCTATGTTTTCTGGTGTGTTGATGACAAGTCTATGTTAACTACACTCCTGTGTGTTCTGGTGTGTTGATGACAAGTCTGTGTTAACTACACTCATATGTGTTCTAGTGTGTTGATGGCAAGTCTATGTTAACTACACTCCTATGTTCTCTGGTGTGTTGATGGCAAGTCTATGTTAACTACACTCATATGTGTTCTAGTGTGTTGATAGTAAGTCTATGTTAACTCCACTCCTATGTTTTCTGGTGTTTTGATGACAAGTCTATGTTAATTACACTCATATGTGTTCTAGTGTGTTGATAGTAAGTCTATGTTAACTCCACTCCTATGTTTTCTGGTGTTTTGATGACAAGTCTATGTTAACTACACTCATATGTGTTCTAGTGTGTTGATGGCAAGTCTATGTTAACTCCACTCCTATGTTTTCTGGTGTTTTGATGACAAGTCTATGTTAACTACACTCATATGTGTTCTAGTGTGTTGATGGCAAGTCTATGTTAACTACACTCCTATGTGTTCTGGTGTCTTGATGGTAAATCTGTGTTAACTACACTCCAATGTGTCATGATATCTTTATAGTAAGTCTATGTGAATTACGCTTCTGCATGTAGTAATGCGTTGATAGTAAGTCTAATTATCTAAAGTTGATAGCATGTTTATGGATGGATGGATGGATATGTGTGTATGTATGTATGTATGTATGTATGTATGTATGTATGTATGTATGTATGTATGTATGTATGTATGTATGTAGATTACTGACGATGTATGATTAAAAATATATATGTGCAGCTGAATTGTTCTGTTTAGCTGTATATTGTGAATGTCAACTGTGTTGTTGAAAATTAAGCATTTCTTACGTTGTTTCTTTTTTATAAATTGGTGTTTTTTTAGGTAGAAAACACTCCTAATTACTTGTGTTTTCCTTTTTTCGCATGAACCGACTTTTAAAAAAATACCTGATTTGAGTTTGGAACTAAATCATCAGTGACAGAGATATTTATAAAATCAAGAGAATTGTTATTGCTTCCATTGTTTCAAACCGCTTCGGTGGCCTAGTGGTTAGAGCGTCCGCCTCGGATATGGGAGGTCGTGGGTTGGATACCTGGTCGAGTCATACCAAAGACTTTTTTTAAAAAATGGTATCAACAGCTTCCTCGCTTGACGCTCAGTATTAAGAAGTCAGTGTTAGGACTGGTCGGCCTGGTGTCAGGATAATGTGACTCTGTGGGACATCATGCTACATGTCTGCAGCATGATGCCCCAGTGCTAGACATCACTATAAACTGCCACATTTCAGACATCACATCATTATGACTGAAAATGTTTTAAAGCTACGTTAAAAATCATATCCACATCACATCACATCCATTGTTTTAAATTATTCCAACTATTACAAAATCATTGGTCGAGAAAATTGTTGTACTCAATGGTACGTATTTTCCAGCCTTGAAAATAATCGCTGATGGTTAAAATGTTGATTTTGTGGGGGAGTTCTGCACGAATTTGCAGCTAATGCATTGTGGACAACACTGATCAAATTAGTGACTGAAATACATTGATATGTCAAAGATTTCAAAAGTTACCTTGACTTTCGATCATCTCACGTTTGCTATGATAGCAAAGGACCCCGACAAGGACAATAACTCTACTGGTCACGTTCATCCAAGAACAGGTGCGTATATTATGCGATAAGTACCGATTTTGTCACAAGATATTCCGAAGAACTTGTGACAAAAGGTAAACCGTAAATTTAACATGCATCTAGCTGTAATTAATTTCGATCAATGTCTTAAAATTAATGCTAGATATTAGACAGCTAAAATAGGGCAATATTTGAACGAAGGAAC